TATTGTGAAGTATTTTTAATAATGTGTAACATGTAATTATTGTAATCCATCCACTTAAAGGTGAAAGGCAGGTTGTTAATAATAATAATAATAATAATAATAATAATAATAATAATAATAATGGCTTTGACAGGCAGTGGCTCTCACAGTTAGAGCAAGGTCTTCTTCATCACTTCCCAGCTGGTCCTGGAGGCTTAATCTTCTGCTTGCAAAGTGTATGCTCTTAACCACTGAGCAAGCCTCTCTCCTCTTACCTTCAGCAGGTTCTTGTGCTGAACAGCTCCCAATTGCTTAATCAGAAGAAAGATGTAGCCCTGGGTTGGGGCAGGGATTCTGTGAACAGGGGTTTACAATCCCAAGGGGGTTTTTGGCCGGCGGGCGGAGGTCAGACTTGCATTGTACTCAACTGCCTGTTGTTTTAAGAAGACCATGAACGTGTTTTAATATTTGCCAGCTTTTTGATCCACCAGGTGTGGAGAGCTGGAAATTTTCTTTTCGTTTTTGAGTTACTAGTAAAAACTGGCCCCTTTCCTATTTATTATATACGTTTAGTATTTCAATAATGCATGTTTAAATGTGCTTTTAAATTGCTCTTTGAGCTGTGTTTTTTTAAAAAAAAATTTACAGTTGCTTGGAATGACTGGAAAGCAGGGCTAGAAATTCAGAAATAAATGCCAAATCATTTTTTAAAATTTTGTTGTTGCAAAAACATTACCCTACAGTACAGGATTCAATTCTATCTCTCTCTCTCTCTCTCTTTTCCAGGAGATACCTTACATTTGCTTTAGAAGGGGAGGAGGGTAAATTGGCTCAGCACATGCATTGCATGTGAAAGGTGTTATATCCAGCTACCTGCACCAGCAGTGCTTGTTGCAGTTATCATTATTACAACTGATGCAATAATTGATTGCCTTTCACACCCCATGTCTCAAGACAATGTACAAAATGCAGTAAAAAGCAGCATAAAAAGCAGTTAAAAAACAACACAGAGCAGAGATCTTTTCATCCAGCCAAGGCAGCTTGTTGGAGCAAAAATATATTCAGTTGTTTCTGGGAAATGCAGGAACGCTGTTCCATAGAATGGGGGCATGTTTGCAGCCCTGCTCTGGGTTACAAGGACCTTTGGTAACAAGTCCAACAAGAATCACTGCCTGGGGCTGGAGAACTAGCAGCCAGAGTAAACTTTCCTTCCTCAACCTGGTGCCCTCCAGCTTTTTGGACTACAATTCCCATCATCCCCAGCCAGCATGACTGATGGGTGTGGTAGTCCAAAATGGCCAAGCTGGTTGGGGATGATGGGAGTTGTAGTCAGACAAATATCTGAAGGCCCTCGGTTGAAGAACCTGGGGTAAGGCGGTTCCTTAGAATCCATATCCGGAAAGCTTTCGGTTGGTTCCTAAGAGGCAGGGTAATTGCTGGACTGGGGGAAAAAGGTGGATTGATTTCCTGCTGTTGCACAATAGAGAAGCTGGGGGGATTTGCTTCCTGGGGAGAACTGTAGATGGGAATGTGGCTTTTCTGGTGGGGGCAGATTGAGTGGTTGCAGGAAGCCATTCTTGGAAGGGAGGGCCTGGGTCGATTTGGTTGAAGGGATGTAGCTTAGTGGTGGATCACCTGCCTTCAAAAGTTCTCATATTCAGTCCCTGGCAATTCCTGGTATGGCTGGGAGAGAACCCTTCCTGAAACTCTGGAGAGCTGCTGCCTGCCAGTGCAGACAACCGTGGGCTAGATGGACCTGCAGCCGGGCTCAGTATAAGGCAGCGCTTCCTGTCTTCTTATCATGGGAATTTAAATGAACAACCGTGGCTTTTTCTTTTTGTCTCTCTTTCAGGCCAGCCCCTCGCCCATTATTGTGAACACAGAAACCCTGGAGCCTGCCCTCTCTGTAAGTCTGCTGCTTTTCTTGTGCGGTTTGTGCCTTGTCCACAGGGTCCTACAATGTCCTGTGAAGGGGAGGAAGTTTCTCTTTCTTGCCAACAGTGGTGTGGGGCTCATTGCCGAAGGTGAAATTAGGCTTTATTTTACCCAGGTCAAACACCCACTTTGGCACACACACCCAAGACACATTTGCCTACACCCACACAGGTTGCACTCGGGGCAAAAACCAGGCTAGTCCCCCCTTCCCCGTGGCTAGGGCACAGCTCATTGCACAAATCCTGTCTCACAGCTCCAAGGCATGGAGAACTTAGCATTCCTGGGTGTGTCCTCCCATATCACTCCTAGATATGGAGTGACCACAGTGTGTCAAGAATCTGCGTTATGCATGTGTTAAAAGAAAATAAAAACGGGACTGGGCATTCCTGACAAATTCCACCTGAAAATTCTAGAATATTCTGTTTGCTGGCCACAGAAATCTGTTGCCTTTGGGACATAAAACTCCCAGCTTTTTCTCTGGTTTTGGTGAGTGAGATTAGGGATGGGCATTTTAGTTTCTCTCATTCTCATTTTTCCAATCTTGAGTTCAGTTCTCCGCATTCCACATCAGTTTAGAAACATTTTCAAAAGGAAATTATTAACACATTTTAGTAAGCATTTTTCAAAAAAAATTGTATGTAGTTTTGCCTAATATATACATTTTTTGGTATAGCAGTTTCCCCTGACACAATGCATTTTTGTACATTATCTTCACTAATATATGCATTTTTATGCACGCTTTGCCCCAGTGTATGCATTTTTGGGTGCACCTTACTTGGCTAGAGAACTGCGCTGCAAAATTTGAGAAAGTGGATGCCTGTGTTTCAGGATGCATAATTTTTTCCAAAAAGTACAAATTTGTAAGGTTTGCCTTTAAATGTGAACTGAATCTAATTTCTCCCAGGTACACTCTGCATTTCAGTGCCCTTCAAAATTGCTGCTTTTCCCCATCTGCTTCCTCTGGTCCTTGGTCTGTATCCTCCCCATCCCATCTGTCCCGGCCCTTCTCTGCTGATCTAGAAAGCAGAGTAAGCGGCGCAAGTTGTGGTTATGTGCAGAATTTTTGTTTCGTTAATGCAGAAGCTGCATCATGCTCCTCTCCCTGGCAGGGGAGGTATATTTGTGCAGAGCCTGCAAAATTCAGAATTGGACTTTTCATGGCCATTTAGTCACCACAATCAGTAGTCCTTTGAGGATGTAGTGATGCAACAAAATAGGAACCCCAAAAAGGAACTTAAAGTGGGAGTGAATTGGAATGGGGTTGTCAAAGGAGGGATTTAATAATCCAACTTGTTTCAACCCTAATGGCCCTTCTTTAGGGAAATTCAGATAAATCAAAACAAAACATTTAGATGTGCTGTCTCTTCTAATGTGTTGGATTAATAAATATCTCTTTTGTTTTCCCCCTTAGCTTCCAGTGCATTTGAATATGTCCCATCCACTTCTTAGCTTCTTGCTGAGGCTGTTAGGATATTCTTCAGGATATCTCTTCCCCTCCTTGCTGCTGCTTAGCCTGCCTCTGATGTGATATATTAAGGGCTCACCCAGAGTTCCACTTTAAAATACAAGTGTGTCTGAGCACCGGGATTTTGGTTTTTTGTGTTTTTTTGCCCCGGTGCTTTGCCCCGGTGCACCTGCTCTTTACCACTGAATCAGAGCAAACAACAAATCTGTGGAAAATCTGAATTGTTGTTTATTCTGATTCAGTGTTAAATGGGGGTTTTTCCTGGGGAAAGTAATGTGGGGGGGGGGGGAGTGCTCAGATGCAGCACTTCAAAGCATAGACCCATGTCTAGAAAGTGTTAGGCAAAAGGTAAGTGTGGGTGAGCCCTTACAATTAGGACATACAGTGGTACCTTGTTTAATAACAGCTTAGTTTATGAACAACTTGGATTAAGAACGCTGCAAACTCAAAAGTAGGTGTTTTGTTTTGTGAACTTTGCCTTTGAAGCAGGACATGTTTTGCTTCCAGTTAAGTGTAAATTGAGTCCCCCACTGCTATGTATGGGAAAGCACACCTTGGTTTAAGAATGCTTTGGTTTAAGAACGGACTTCCGGAATGGATTAAGTTCGTAAACCAAGGTACCACTGTATATTTGTGAAGACAGGGAGCCTTGTGCCAGAAAATCCTGTGTCCCAGAAATTGTGTCTAATCACAATAATAATCCCAGATACCACTTACATGCCAAGACAGCTTCTATATGGTTTACAAGTATAAAATCAATTATAAGCTATCCACACATAATTAAAGATCACAAAAAAACAATTCCATAAAAAATATCAAAAACATTCATAATTAAAACTTGCAGTAAAAAAGGCTTTTAAAAAGCACAACAATTAAAAAAATTAAGTCAGGAAGTTCAAGTCTAGGGAAATGCTTCTGCAAACAGGTGTGTCTGCAAGGGTGAGTGGAACGCCAATACTGATTTGGGGCATCTCATATTTCAGCATCTGTTTGTTAAACTTTTCCTGTTTGTTTCCCCAGGTGAATGGCAGTGACGGGATGTTCAAGTATGAAGAGATTGTCCTGGAAAGGGTGAGTGAGAGCCAGTGGACCCTTGCCATGGATGTGGTGCCAGGGCTAGCGCTACTTGTCTCTGGACTGTATTGGGCTTTGTTAGTCCTCCCACGCAGGCACATGCATCCTGGCTCTGTAGGTACAAGCATGGGGAGCACAGAGAGAAAAGGGCAGCCTTTCCTCAACCTGGTGCTCTCCAGATGTTTTGGACTGCAATTCCCATCAGATTGGATGGCCGACTGTGGTTGATTGAAGTTGTAGTTCAAAACATTTGGACAACACCACGTTGGGGAGGGCTGGGCAAGGGGATCTAACATGCGTGTTCCCTCTTTCCTCTTTCCACTGTTGTGGTTTTGGAAACCAGAGCTTATGGTATTGAGAACTGACCCAGCTATATGTGGTAGGACTGTGCTTTTCAACAGAGGCTAGGAGATTTTTTCATTTTCCACATCAGGATACTGGCAGACTTCAAGTTTTACATTCATGTCCATGATTACTTTCTGTTGAATATACCTTCAGTGCCCTTGAATTGCTGTATTGTTCTAATTATCGTTAGCATATAAGCTCAGCCTGGGTAGCTCCGTTGGTTAGAGCATGGTGCTGATAACACCAAAGTTTCAGATTCGATCCCTGCATTGCAAGCGGTTGGACTAGATGATTCTCAGGGTCCCTTCCAACTCTATGATTCGTCCCATTTATTTATTCCTTCTTTTTTTTTTAATGCTTGTCAGGGAAATTCTGGCCTTGGATTTAGCATTGCTGGAGGGATCGATAATCCACACATTCCTGATGACCCTGGCATTTTCATAACCAAGATCATCCCAGGTGGAGCAGCTGCCATGGATGGGCGTCTGGGGTGAGTGTCCTGCCATAGGGTGGATCCTGAGCCTTTGGGGGGGGGGGAAGCAGGTACAGATAAGGAACCTAAAATGAGATCTTTGTTGATGAACTGTGTGTGCGTGTGTGCCGTAAAAACAAAACAAATTAAAAAGTGTGTTTTAGACTCTCTGTAGATACTCACAGCTATTCATTCAGCCATTTCCTGACTGTTAATGCACGGTCGTACCACTCAGACTATTTTTAGATTGTGTTTTTTGTATATGCATGTTTTGTTTCAGTGTACGCTTAACACAAAGTTGCCAACATGGCACCTGCGGGCTCAAGGGCGCCCATGAGGTCTTCCTCTGGCGCCCATGAAACCTCTGAGCCTCCTCACTCACCTCATCCTTGGTCATGAGGTAGTGAGGATGGCTGCCTTTTTCTCTCTTGAGAAGCACATGCAGCTGAAGGAGGAATTTGGAAGGGTGATGCTCTTCCCAACTTCCTCTTTCAGCTCTATGGGCTTTTCAAGGTTCAAGTTAATTCTACTGGATCTGACTTTTGCCCAGATCCCTTGGAAAAGGGAAGCGTTTCCATGCATGCCCTCTCTCTTTCTCAGAGATGGTCCTCGTCTAGGGAAGCCGAAGAGAAGTGATCAGAAGTGGAGTGGCACCCACTGCAGCTGCTCAAAAGTCCAAAAGTGCCCATGGGCCCCATTTTAACATGTTGATTTAACCACTTTGAGATGCTTTTTCATTCTTTCTTTTGATATTTTATTAGAATTTCACTTATAAAAAAGTGATGTAAAGAAAGAAAAGAAAGGAAAACGTGAATGGAAATAAAAATAAAAGAAAAATACTCAATTACATTTCCATACATTAATATACAAATGTTTATAGTATTATTATTATTATTCAAATACAAATTTTTTAATAACGCATATATTCAGTGTAAAGTTGTTCCAGATATCATTATATTTATGCAAAGAAAGTCTGTGTCTATAAGTGGTCCATCCATATGTTTCTAATATTGTCATGTTGTCAAGTCATTGGTTAAGGGGAATCATATTTCTATTCTTCCAGTTCATCAGTATTAGTCTCTTAGCAACCATTAGGGCACGTAGAGCCCATTTTTGCTGTCCCATTGTCACTTTCCATACAGTAGGTATATAGTTCAAAATAATATTCACTTCTGAAAGTCTTAAATTTTTCCATAGCATCTTATTTATACAGTCCAGCACTCTTTCCTAAAACTTAGTAAGTATGTGGCATTGTAAAAACATTTGTTTTCAAGAATCATTATCCATATTACATCTCCAGCAAAGGCCTACTTTAGATAGCCCTTTCTTCTACAGGCATAAGGGAGTCCAATAAATTCCGAATAATATTTTCTACTATATAAGTCTTAATATAATCAATACATCTGCTCCCAAAGCTAAAACAATTTCCCATTTTCTGGTTCATAGTAAACATTTGAATTCTTTATTCTAGACTTTTTTAAAACTCTGCATATCAGAATTTATTTATTCATAATAAATATCCATAAAAAGTAATCCTGGCTTTTTACCTTCAAATGAATTATCCGATTGCTCCAATATTTCAGGGTTCTCTTAAGCTGCCGGACCAAACAAGAGTTATTAAAAGGAGTTGCAACTGCAGGTATTGCCATTGGGCCACAACTGGCAGATGATATTTTCTCTTAATGCACCATAAGTATAACATTTGATTTCTTCATCTACCAGTTGGCCCAAGGTCAATGCCCATGCTCCCATCCAGCTTTTCCATATTGCCATGTTTTCCACCCCCCACCACACCAATTTTAAAAACAGAATTTCCCCCAGAAAATTGATTGAATTTTACAAAGTAAAATGAGGACACAGCAGGAGGTAAGGGTGGAGGGTTTGGGGTGGTTGCTCACCTTGAGCCCTGCACCTGCCCATCTTAGGGCATTCTGCTGGGGAACCACTAAGGAGCGATTGAGGGCCTTTTTCTTTAAAATATTTATATACATACTTATGCTAGCCCTCCGGAGTTCTCCCCTCCCTCACCATCTCCTCTTTGGCTGTTCTGCCCCTGTGGCGCAGGGTGAACGACTGTGTCCTGAGAGTGAACGAGGTCGATGTTTCCGAGGTCGTGCACAGCAAGGCCGTGGAGGCCCTGAAGGAAGCGGGGCCTGTGGTGAGGCTCCTGGTGCGGAGAAGGCAGCCCCCACCAGAGACCATCATGGAGGTCAACCTGATGAAAGGACCCAAAGGTGACTGCCCTGGGTGTGGGCCCTGCTGGCAGTCATGTGCTAGCATGTATCTGGGGCTGTTGCTTCCCGGCTGGTGGATAAACCTGGAGGCCAGTGGTCTCTAGGCCCCTGTCGCGAAGTTGGGCTGCGGCCAGGAGCCAAGCAGGGGTCAGTGCTGGGTGGATCCAAACACCCAGGTGGGTTTGTCCCAGTTGTCCAGGGCAAAGTGGGGTGGTTGGAGCAAGAGCTGCTGAGGTCAAAGGGAAAGGGCCGTGGCTCAGTAGTGAAGCATCAGCTTTGCATACACAAGGTCCTGGTCTCAAGCCCAAGTAGGGTTGGAAGACATTTCCTGGCTCAAACCCTGGTGAGATCCTGCCAGGATCTCAATGCCGGGCAAGAGGGACCCATGGTCCAACCCGGTGTAAGGCAACTTCCTGTGGAAAGGCCCATGGCTCACTGCTGGAGCCCCTGGTCTGTGCAGAAGGTCCCAGGTTCAATCCCCAACATGGCCAGGTAGGACTGGGGAGAGACTCCCTGCCTGCCTGCTGCTGGTTGATGTAGAGACAGTGCTGTACAAGAGGGCCTGACTCAGTATAAGGCAACCTCCTTATACTCAGAGAGTGAGGCTGGTTCAGGGAAAAACTAGAGATTGCTCAAAGACACTGGCAGAGATCGTGCGGAAGTTGGTGCTCCTTCTGTGGTGAAGGAGCAGCAGTCCAGGGGCAGGTTCCATCTTATCTGTGCAATCAAGAGTCAGATTCTGCTGCTGAGAAGGAGGTCTCCAGCAGGCTGTCAACAGAGGCACAGACCATCTCTTGGGCCTCCAGAAGGTCATGGCCCTGACTCAGCTCCTTAGGGTTGGATATTGGCAAACTTCCTTTTGGTGTAGCAGGGTTCTGTGGCTTTTAGTAGGTGACAGAGCCCACCGGAGAGGAGGGGCCAGGGACACAGGTCTCAACACCCCTGTCCCTTGCTCCTCCTCAGCAAACCCTCCAACCCAATGCCTGCAACCTGCTCCTCTAAGAGTCTAGAATTCAGTGACCCAGAAACTCACTTTTTTGCTCTCTCGCCCACCTATTGCTTACTAGTCTTTTTTTTATTTTTATTTTTTTAAGGAAAGGATAGAAATGTGAAAAACTGGGGAGGGATGATGGGCCTAGGGGCAGTAGCCTGGGAGGAAAAAAACAACACCCCAGAGATTTTATACCAGATTACATACCAGACTATAAAAATGAATTAAACAAATTAATGGAGCATCAAGCTATCAATGGCTACTAGCCAGGGTGACTGTGCTCTGCCTCCGCAGTTGAAGGTGTTAATGCTTCTGAATACCAGTTGCTGCAACCTGCAAGAGGAGAGACTGCTGCTGCAGCCAGATCCTGCCTTCATGTTCCCCACAGGCATCTGGGTTCCCACTGTGAGAACAGGATCCTGGACTTGAAGGGCCCCTGGCCTAAGCCCACATCCAGGCTCTCCTAATGTTCTTACGTGGCCCATGGCAGGCAGATCTCTCCACATCCCAGCGCAGCCATCGCAGAGCTCCCTAACCCCACCTCCTTCTCCCCAGGGTTGGGCTTCAGCATCGCCGGGGGTCTCGGGAACCAGCACATCCCTGGAGACAACAGCATTTACATCACCAAGATCATAGAAGGTGGTGCGGCTCAGAAAGATGGGCGGCTGCAGATTGGCGACCGACTGCTAGCAGTGAGCACCCGACTTGTTTTCTTCGAAGTGTTGGGATGGGTGACAGCATGGATGGCGTCAACTCTCGGTGCAAGGGAGCTGGGTGCTGGGCAGTGCCTGCCAATTGTGTGGCCACCCCAAAACATTTTGCGGCTTGGCATGGCTTCTTAGAAGCATCCGTTCGTTTACTGTGGGAAGGCAGCTAGATGATCTGATCCCGGCAGGCCTCTGTTTAGGCTTTTCATTCACAATGGAACACTCATGCTCAGAGGCAGTCTATCTCTGCCTAACTGGGAATGTAAAACTGGGGAGACCTGCGGCCCTTCAGGCCCATCCAATTGCCGGCTGCAGGAAGCAGCATGGGCATAGCCTGGGGGGGCAGGTGCCCCTCCCAGTCAAGTAAATAAATAAAAACACTTAACCAACTGACCAATCGCATCACAGGTAACTCAGTTCTGCCCTCGCCCGACATAAAGCCTATCTCTCACATCATAAACCCTGGCTACGTCCATGGGAAGTAGGATACTGGAGTCGTTTTGTTATGTTTGTCATTGGCCATGATAGGGATGGAGCACCCACGCTCAGAGGCAGTCTACCTCAGTATCAGACACTGCTGCAGTTGGGCACTGTGGGCAGCGGGGTACAGGAGTGGATGCATCTGATTTAGCAAGGTTCTTCTCATTGGCCCATCTCAGTTGGCTCACTCTGTCAGATCTGCAACACAGCAAGCCTCTGGCTGTTTTCTCTCTCCTGCCCCTGCCATACCCACTCTCTCCAGGTGAACAACACCAACCTGCAAGACGTCCGACATGAGGAGGCCGTGGCTGCACTGAAGAACACTTCGGACATGGTGTACCTGAAGGTGGCCAAGCCAGGCAGCTCCCACCTCAACGACATGTATGCGCCACCT